CATTCGATGTTGATTGGTCGATCAAAACAATGCGGTCTTGACAAAACCTCTCGAGGGGACCAGGGGAGCTAACGGGTTTGTTTTTGGACTGCAGGCCGCTGGCTACCCTCGCCGGGCTTATTTTTGTTACCCAACATACTGTGCGATCGGCGAACGGGCCGCGAACGTTTCAAGCAGCCAAATTCGAAATTGGAAAGCCGATCGATCTGGAGATAAAAGTATCGCTAGTGAAAGATCTGTGGGAGGAATTGTGAATCGAGTGAATGGAAAATGGAACTGCAACATCTCTGCTTTGATTTTCTGGAGGAATCGAGACTGGTGGTAATTTTTTGGCGGAATTATTCGCTTCGGGCGACGGACGCTTCTAAAATAGGTTTCCGGCCTTGTCTTTCTTTTAGCAGTTGAACACCAACATAGCGCTAACTCGCCGAAAACGCTTCAAAATGGCCTGAGACGCTCGGAATCAACAAAGAAAACAACAAGGCAATAAGGTAAGCCCATTTTATTTCAAAACAAGACATTTTTTTCTCTCTTTTAAGGCAAACCGATAACATCCCATACAAACCTTTATAAATATAAAACGTTACGCAACACGGTAAGAGTCACGTCCGCTTTTCTAGTAGTGAGCTTGGGCTGCCTGTGCTTGGAAAAGAATGGATGTCAAGGTCTTAAAGGTGACAGAATAAGCTCTCAAATCAACGACACTACGATTCTCTAAGGCGATGGGAATTATGGACGTAAAGTGAAAACCGTTCTTTCGGACTTCAAGCAGGGCCTAGCGACAATTTGACGATTCGATGACCCGGTAATTATTATGTTCGAGCAACAATGTGTTCCAAAAGTATTGTTTAATAGAAGATTTTGCGTCAAATTGAAGTTTTTCAGAATTTTCAACATAACGCTGCGCAATTTCTGGCCTTGAAGGCAAGTAAACAACGATCTAAGCATGATGAATTTTACCGCGTGAGCTTTGTGCACTTAAGAAATTCGTACGTTTGTCGCTTATAACAGCAAATCAAAAACTGTTTTGAATAAATATGTCGTCCCGAAATATTTCTTGGCCATTTTAATCTTGCTTCCATGGAACTTGAGATCTCTTCCCAGTCACTCACGGACAAATTCGCATGTTCCATTTTGAAATATGATCCACATGTTTGCACACGTGCGAAAATATTTAGCGATTTTTATCTTTCATCTTGATTTTTGAGTTACAACGTAATATGCACCTATCGCTTTTTTCGTCGGAAATAAGTTCTTTAATGAGTCTTTCGCTGGAGCTTGTTTTTTGGAAAAGATGATTTTTAAAAATATACTGCGCATTGTGTTTGCTTTCTCCAAAATTTTGACCTTTCACAGGCACGTGTTACACGTAAGTGTCAATGGGTTTAATCTATACTGAGTGAATTTTTGGCCAAAAATTTTTAATATATGTAATGAAATTTTATTGCAAAATTTTCACTTATTGGGAACTCCGCTTTTAGGCTTGTTGCCCAACCTCTCTGTTACTTATTAGATATTAGTGGTTCACGAACTCTGAACTCTTTGTCGATACACAGTTCACATAGCAAGCTATGCATTGTGTTTAGAGGCTATGATGACAATGGCGGCCATAATCATGAACAGAGTTTTCGCCCTGTTGTTGGGGCTGAGTTACAAACAAATTGTAGCTTGGAAGCGCATGAATACCTTTGTAGCTACCTTTAGAATTTAACTCTTGTCGCCTCTTTACGCGCTATTATTGATAAGCGTAAAACCTCTGGTACGGCCGCACAATTTTATCACTTTGTTTAGTTATTTCCATCACCTCGTACATAGATTTTTCGCACTCTCAGTCATCATCAGGTTCAAGTACAAGAATATGTTCAACAACAGCCGAGCCAAACAAATGCGCTGAACACGGCAGCATACAGAAAGGCAGTGTACGGTGCACTATGTGTGCTGTTAGCGTTTGTTGTTTGTTATGCACCATTCTTTCCATTGGAAAGTTGTCATGACTCGTAGTAAAACATCTGCATCACCTTTACTTGTCCTAAAAAGAAATAACTGGCGTCTTTGTTCACCGTTACTTTTACTCGACATTGAACCCGTTTTCTTATTGCTGGAAGATTAGTGAAGTCAGACAAGCATTAAAGCAGACGATCAGGCAAGCAATCTGTTTTCTATGGAGTTAGAATATCCTCGAGTTATACTTGATTGAATTATTACTTTCATTTTAAAGCTGACTGATAGAGATTGCTTGTCAATTAGATTCTTGCTCGAGGTCTTTCGATAGTAGTATACGAAAAAAATTTGTTCAAGATAAGTTGATATACAGTTCTTTTTCTGGTCGATAATTTTGCCGAAATTTTATGTTCAAGCGGAAAAGGAAGACTGAGTGATGAATATACATTCGACTTTTAAAAATATTTTATAGAAAGGGTCGCTTTAATTCCACTTTGATACTGGTTTATCATTCAGTTGCCTCCAATTTTTCTATTCTATATCTACCATTTCCGGCGATTAACTGTTTCCTAACTTCCCTTTAGGTTTTTTCGTTTTACAAAGGCTTATCGAAATTCAGAATTGACCAAAATACACGTGGGATATTTGCAACTATATATCAACTCTAGAAAATAATAGGGCATGGAAATAAAGTGCTCATTGGTTTCTAAAATAAAGTGACACAAGTGAGTTTCCGTATTATATCGTCTGACAGTCATATGAACCGACGTCTTTGTATTTGCCAAGAGAATCATCTTTTAATGCTAATTTGAAAAGTGAAAGCTAACTAAAATTTTATCTGCTGGAATAAGCAGCTGCCAGTTGCGATCAATATGACATCGTTTAGTTTCTTAGCTGTAGTCACTGCGCTAAATTATCAAGAGAATTAGGAGAAGGAACTCCAACAAAAGATTGATAAAGTTGCCGCATTCAGTCTTGGCGATCAAATGACTCTTTTTGTATGTCTATCGACTATCCCCACTTCTGAAAGAAACATAATCGATTGAAAATGAAAAATTATAAGGATGCAAGAAAAAGCGGCATCTAAGGAAAACGAAATAAATGTTTTGGTACCGGATGGAACTGTGGGATCAAAATGAGAGCGAACATGTAGGGCTTAGCTGGTTCCTGTCAAAACAATAATTCCTCCGCATCCATTGATAAAGAATTGGTTCATACTTAGCTTGCGAATAGCGAGTTATGGATGCACACGGGAAGTTTGGAGAGAAGGAGAGAAGCACAAGAGTTGCATGTACGAATTCAGAATGCTTGAATCGATGTTTACTAAAAAATTCACGAACAGAAAACTATGGAAAATTTTGAAATTCTGAAATTCTATCTGGTTATAAAATCAAAATCTTTTATTTAACAATACCCAGTCAGGAAATATCAACACGTAAAAATAATATCAACCGTTCGAGGAATCAAGCAAAACGCTGAAATATTTCTTTCATTGATGAGACCCCTATGGCGCATGATTTACTTTTACTTCATAAGAAAGTATTTTTCTCGTCTTATTGTGAACAAGTCTTTGGAAGAAAACAAGTAGAATCTGGAGTTTTGTAGGCAACCTCTGGCTTGTCGTCATTTAGAATAGTCTCAGTCTATGAATGAGGTGGCGTTGTCTTTGGGTTTCCCGAAGAATTTAACTTTTAATGTTAATTTGTATTTAAATTTCACTTCACTAATCGGGATAAAATGCTTATTGCGGCCCACATGTACTGAATTGCCTGGTAAATTAGCTGCATTCGCTACTTGGAATAATTAAAGGGGATTTGAAAGAAAAAAATGGAGGTAGTAAGAAACTCTATACCAGAAATCCAAAAAAATGCTGCATCAACACGACAGACAATTTTCTCATGCATTGAAAATGAGGAAAAGGTGGTGATGAAGTCTTTTTTGTGATTAATGTCCAGGAGGTTCGGTTTCAAGAATCGTGGCTGAGTGTGTGTCGTTAAGACGAAATATTCATTGTTGTCGCCGCAGATAACCTCCAAGAAAAATGAAACAAATACAGAATAATTTCGACAACAAATTTCACAAGAGGTGAAACACAGACGAAAACACTCGAACGACTGATATGCACTTTGGTGGGTAAGTCTCAACCAAAATCAGTTTCTTTCGAAGCAATTGAAATTATTTTTTCCATCACAGCGTTTCTTTGAAGTTTTGTCCTCCATGTTACCCTTCACAAGGAATCTTGCCTTCACAGACAGTTCAAACTCTTGTTTCGTTGTTTGGCGACAACTGATCGGTGGTTGGTCTTGTTGCCCAGCTTCTCTAACTTAACATGAGCAAGTGACAAAACTTCTTGAAATATTAATAAGCATTATGCTTAAAAACAAAAACGATATTGCATGAAAAATGTTGTCGATTCTCGAAAATATGTAACGCATCCAGTTTGACGCTGGTGCATGTTTAAGTTGTCTTCAAGTCTTTTTGATTCTATGTCCACCACTTCTGAGCGAGTAACTGTTTTCCAAATCGTCGCTTCTTTTTTCTTTCAAGACGTTTTCACAAAGCGTTTTTGAAATTCATAATTAATCGTACATGTAGAAAAAAGAAAACGCGAAAAAACAGCTAGGACAATATCCAGCCATCTCGAGCACACGCTTGGTCAATAACGCATATTAATGCCGTTTTCGTGAGCAGTTACATGGCCGATGTCTTTGTGTTTGTCGACGAAATTAACTTTCAATACTTATTTGTACTGAAATTTCACTTTCCTAGTCGAAATATAAAGTGCTAAATGCAGCCCACATTTGATTAGCTCGTAGTAGAGCTGCAGTCGCCACTCAGAATAATCTAAGAGAATTTTAATAGAAAGTTTCCGGAGATAGTAAGAACTCCTGTATAATAAATGAAATAACGGGATATATACGCTTTCATACCTAAAGTACCCGACAAGTTCAAGGGAAAAAATCGCCCTTTGAACACAATACACAATTGTCTGGGGCATTGATAATGAGGGAGAGGTGATAAGAAAGTCTTTTGGAGATTAATGTCAAGGAAGTGCGGTTTTCATCAATCGTGGCTGGGTATGTGCCGTTGAGACAAAATATTTCTCAATACAATCACAGATAACCTGCAGGAAAAAGAAAACGAATACAGAATAATGACTTCGTCTCGGTCCATAAAAACGCACAAAAGTAACTCGGCCAGTATCCGGCCATCTTGACCTCACGCTTGGTCAATAACGAAGTGGACGATCGAATTGAAAGAGAACTCAAGGGTCATTTGCGAGAAGGGACTCAGATAAAACGGACTTTCAAATCTGAAATTCATTTCAACGACGAAAAAGAATTTCGAATGAAAAACAGTTAAGAGATTTTTAACACAAAATGGTTGCAGTATATCTAATATGTCGCTGCTGTCTTTTCAATTTTTCTCCAAAAACGGTGGAATAGTTTCATTTAATTATTGACTCTAAAATGACAACCTATCAAAATGAAACTCCTTATTTCATAATTTGAAAAACAGTGACAAAAGAGTGTTCCCTTACTGTATTGTCAAATAGTGATATAGCCGATGCCTCTGTGTTTGCCGACGAAATTAACTTTTAAAACTAATTTGAAATTAAATGTCACTTTACTAATGGATATAAAGTGCTCCTTGCGGCCCTCATCTAATTGGCGTGTGGTTAAGCTGCAGTCGCTACTAGAAATAACCTGCAGGAAAAATGAAATGAATACAGAATAATGTTAACAAAAAATTCCACAAGAGGTGCAACAGAGACGAAAACATTTTTACTGATATGCTCTCCCTCAAGCCCTTTGGTGGGTGGGCCTCAATCAGAAATAGTTCCTTTCGCAGCAGTTAACATCATCCTCTCTATCACAGCGCTTCTTGGAAATTCTCTAATCCTTGTTGCCCTTCACAAGGAATCTTCCCTTCAATCGCCGTCCAAACTCTTGTATCGATGTCTGGCAACAACTGATCTGTTGGTTGGTTTTGTTTGCCAGCCTCTCCATGCTACTCTTTGGATGTCCGTAGTTCGCGAACACCGGAGTCTTTGTCGATACTTAGGCTATGCAAACTACATAAGCTATGCATTATGTGGAGTGTCTCTGTTGACGATGACGGCCATATGCGTCGACAGACTTTTTGCCCTGTTGTTGGGGCTGAGATACAAACAAATCGTAACTTTGAAGCGCACCTATATCATTGTAGTTACCTTCTGGGTTTTTTCTCCTTTCTGGACTTCCTTAAACGCCATATTTGATCACCGCATACTGTATTTGTGCACCGGCATATTTATACTACTTTGCCTGATTATTTCACTGGCCTCGTACACAAAGATTTTTTGCACTCTCAGGCATCATCATACTCAAGTACACGGTAATGTTCAACAACAGCCGAGCCAACCAAGTGCACTAAACATGGCGCGATACAGAAAGGCAGTGCACAGTACACTGTGGGTACAGTTAGCATTGATTGTTTGTTATGCGCCATTCTTTATTGTATTGTTATTGGCAATCGTTCATAATGGAATATCTTCGTCACACTTGTTCGTCATATTGCAAATAACAATTGTCTTAGTCTACTTTAATTCAACGTTAAATCCGTTTCTTTACTGCTGGAAGATTAGTGAAGTAAGACTAGCAGTAAAGCAGACAATCAGACAAGCACTTTGCTGTCCATGGAGTTAGATCACTCGTAGCTACACTCGAATTAATATTTTTAAAGCTGAGTCATACAGTCACGATTACTACCTGCCGTACAGAACGCTTGTCCGACATTTTATTGGATGGAAAGAAATAAGAAACGTAAGTTGGATGTTTAAACACAGTCTCTAACACTTACGAATTTTAGAGTTGTAAAATACTAATAGTGAACAATGTGTAGATGAGCATATAGAATAAAGCGGATCATTACGAGTTCTTCTAGTCAGAGTTTTTTTTTTGTCACTGGATCTTTTCATTTACGAAATTGCATATAACGACTTATCGTCTTCGCTCAGCTAGAAACAAATTTCTACTTGAGAGGAGGGAGTTTAAAAAAAAAAATATGAAGTAATTATTGTACCACAGATGTCTGTGCGTTTCACTGTTGATGCTAATTTATCAATCTGAGGCTGCGAATTAGACGGATTGAAAAATGCTACATAACTTTTTCCATTCCAAATTTGATTCAAAGCTTTTGTAATACGTTGGCACCCATAACCAAAAAAAAAGAGAAAACATTCATAATAGCTTGATGCATTTAGAGATGTCTCAATTCCAATTCTTTTTCTTAGACCAAGTAAAGTCACCATCTTGAACTTTTTATTTCCAGGAGTTTTTCAATGGTTGATAATGATTCAAGTCTTAACTACATACAAGTAAATAAAGGCTGAAAGTTTCTAAAGAAACTGTGGTGCTGCGTCGGTGGGGGTAACAAGGTAATTGGTTTTATCAAACTAAGTCGAAATTGTAAATTGGCCACCGAAACGATTAAAGAAGCTGACGTTTCGAGTGTTAACCCTTCGTCAGAGCGAATGGAGGAGTTGTGGGTTGTATATGGTTCTCTAAGCAGAAAGCGGAGCTACGCCATTGGTGGGAACATGGCAACGAAAATACCACGAATAAATAGGGGAATGATAAGCATTCGTTGATACCTGCACTTGATTAGCACACTACCAACAAAAACTCATTAAAGTAGAGAGTGATAATTTTCTCCCTTTAAAATAAAAATACTGAAGATGCCTCTTTCTTCCCTCTTTTCGCTGTTTCATACCTAAGGCACCTGACAAGTCAAAGGGAAAAACTTGGAAGTTTATGTAATAGAAATATTTGACATAACATTCCGGAAAAATGAAAATGGATTGATCTGAAAGCAAACTCTGTAAGAACCGGTGAAGATCAATTTCATTTTATGTCCTTTATTAAACTCAATTAACATCTGCAGTAATAAAACATCTTCAAATATTAATAAGCATTGTGTTTTAAAGGGGAAAACAATATTACATGAAAAGTGTTGTCGACTGTTGAAAATATTTAATATATCGAGTTTAACGTTGGTGCATGTTTAAGTTGTCTACAAGTTTTCTTGGTTCTGTGTCTACCACTTCCGAGCGATGAACTGTTCCTAATTTTAGCTTGTTTTTTCTTTTAACTGTCGTTGTCACAGAGCTTTATTTAAATTCATAATTAACCACAACGCAGAGAAAGATATTTTCCTCTAAATTACCGACCCAGAGGAATGTCAGTTAGCTCAATGTACTGCTTCTTTTGTCTCTCAAAAGACTGAAAAAAGTCAGTTTCCTTATCATATCGTCAAACCAAAATGCAGCTGGCCGATGACTTCCTGTTTGCTAAAGGAATTAAGTGTCAGTGCTAATTTGAAGAAACAGCTACAAAGGAAACGAAAAATATAGAATTATGTCGACAACGAATTTCACTAGGGGTGAAACACAGACCAAAACAATTGTAGAACTGCTATGAAGCCCTCTTTGGTGGGCTTCGACAACTTGGATCGGCATTTCCTTTCGCAGCGGTCGATATTGAAGGTAATGTATCCACGAGTTGTTCACAGTTTCCTTTAATTTCCCTACTGAGAGATGAACAACAGCGAGGGGATTAGAGAGGTTACCATATTCACAGTTTCCTTTCAAACTTAAGGTCGGAGAGAAGTGTCTCCTCTTATCAAATAATTTGGATATATCAACAAAGTTGAAATGGTAAATTGGCCACCGTAATGATTACAAAAGCTGACGTTTCGAGCGTTAGCCCTTCGTCGGAGCTTAGCCCTTCGCTCCGACGAAGGGCTAACGCTCGAAACGTCAGCTTTTGTAATCATTACGGTGGCCAATTTACCATTTCAACTTTGTTGATATATCCAAATTATTTCGTTACTCCCACCGACGCAGCCCCAAACAGTTTCTTTCGAAACTATCAGCCTTTCTCCTCTAATCACCCTGCCATGAAAAATATCTTTGGTGGAGTTTCCATATTTTGTCTGTGAACGGAATAAATCATGACATCAATGTTATAACTTGCAGCAAGAGCGAAATACTTGAGCTTCATTATTGCAGTGTGATCGACATAGACCACTCGTCGCTGTGCAGACTGGGGGTCTGGCGAAAAATAAGTTTTGGCTTGGGGCGACGCAAATAATAGAGAATTGCTAAATAACAAAACTATGTTTGAAACATGTGTCCTAAACCAAGTTCATGGGCAAAAAATAAAAGAGAATTTCTCTCGAAGGGAAGTCGAGAGGATCGCTCTCAGCGAAAGCGGCACGTAACAACTGTTCACTGAGGTGGAGATGGCTATGTCGCTAGCCACCGATGATAACGCTGAGAGAATAAATGTTTAAGTATATACGATGACAATGAGATAATGAAGCAAAAAAAGATGATTTCAACTCATTTATTCCTGCAACGATTACAATATTGCCTGGCACAAATCCTGCGCGAAAATGCACGGTGTTGAATAGCAAAGAATATTCCGAGTTTGATTAGCCAATTAGACCGCGCCTCTAACGCTATAGACTATTTAAGTATATATTTATTAAAGTCTACCCATTAGTGGAACAATGTATAGAATTTAAAGGAATCCGATAAGCTGCTATTAGTTAGAAATTTGTTCCTCTCGCAAATAATAGTAAATGCAAAACATAGACATACTATGAGCGTGGCCATAAGCATGGCCAGACTTCACACTCTATTGCTGGGGCTGAGATAAAGACGAATTGCGACATTAAAGAGGACATATATCACTGCAGTTCTGTTTTGGGTTATGTCCTGTGTCGCCGCTTTATGCTACACTTTAACTTACCGTATACCTTTTTGGTGTGGATATACAGGTATACCATCCTGCCTAGTTACTTCTATCGCCTCGTACATAAAGATTTTCCGCGCTCTGAACATGGCGCGATACAGAAAGGCAGTATACAGTGCACTGTGGGTGCAGTTGGGATAAGTTGTCTGTTATATACCAAGTTTTATGGTAGATATTCTGCTTATCTACACCAACACATCTTCAGTGTCCCAAATTATTAGCAGAGAACTGCTTCTTTTTTTATTTTCTTTAATTCGACCTTCAACCCGTTTATTTACTGCCTAAAGACTAGTGAGATAAGATAAGCGGTGACGTAGACAATCAGAGAAGCACTTTGCTGTGCATGAAGTGGGAAATAATTCAATGTGATTGCACAAGAGGCTGTCATGCTGTAAAAAGTCTAGTGCACTTAATTGAATCACTGCTAACAACTGAAAAAAGATTAGAAACAAGCTTATCAGATAAAACTTCACCTCAACAACAGTTTTAGGTAATAACATTTTCAGATGATAAAACACCCTCCTCACATCAAAGATAGTTTGCTGAAAAAATCATTTTCCCCATGGGAAGGAATATTTCTATCGTGCATGATGTTCGAAAATAAAAGTTTTAGATCGATGGAGAGGCCTTTTAGAGTATATAGACGGAAGGATTTATCAAAGCATTACCTGTTCCAAAGAAGTTGTTAAGAAGTTACATTTGATAAAGGCTAATTCCACGAACTGCCACATGGTAATAAGTTGACATCTTTTGTGACAAAATAGACATAAGTAATCATATTTTAGTGAGTGAACGTTGCTGAAGAAGTTTGTGAGTAACTTTTATTAAGAAAGTGAAGTTTAGGTGATCGTGGCCTGGCAGGTGCTATGAAGAAAAAAATAAATCTCACTACATATAGTTACAAATAATCATTCGAAAAAACGAAACAAATGTTTATCGAGTAACGAAATGAGTAACGAGGGGATGGGGAATATGATTAATCTGATGAAATTAAATTTTGGGTGATCAAGGATAGGAAAGGGCTCTCAAGACTAAACGTTTCCATTGCAATCACATTTGACCTGAGTGAAAAAAAAAAAACAGTGAGGACTAATGGCGAAAACAAATCTAACCGGTGGTATAGGTAGAGCACAGACTTTATTTGTTGATCTTCAGTGCCCCCCTTCTTTGGAAGATGGGAAATAGCAGTAGGCTAAGTTCACTTTAACCCAAAGTTAAATCCGTTCTTTACTGCTTGAAGGTTAGTGAAGTCCGATATGTTATTGGAAAAGTTTGTAAACCCCTCGCCTGCGCCTCGTGGTTCACAAACTTTTCTCGGCTTCTCCCAACATCCTTCGTGGCTTATCAGCGGTAAACCGATAGAAAGTGCGGTTCACTCATCAATTGTACTCTCATCTTTACTCCTCCTCGCAATATGAATGCGCTGGATAAAATTTCAAAGTGTAACTTAGAAGAGTTGTTTGAGGTATTCTGCATTCGATAAAATAATTTCCACTCTTTTCTCCGGCTAATTAAAAGAAAGTGCTTGGCGTGGACACCGTATTGCCACACGTGCTGGCAAAATAGTACAAGAGAATTGTTCGAGTTATTTGTGTTGTACGAAAAGAAATCAAAAGTTTTTTGCTTTCTAAAGGAAAGCATTTGGTGCTGACGCCATATTGCCAAGCAAGCTGATTCAGTTTTGGTCTCGAATTTCTTTGGTTATTTGTCCAACAGTCTATGAATATATATCTAAAGATGGATACAGATCCATGCATCTGTATAAAAATAGTGGATTGAAAATGAAAAAAGGTTAAAATGGTAAAAAGTGACATCTAACGAAAAGGAAAAAAATAGTTTGGTACAAGATAAAAGCCTGGTCTCAAAATGAGGCCAGGTGCTAAGGTATAGCCGTTGCAACACAATTAATTCTCAAACTGCCTCTTCCCTCCAAAATGCGCCTGTTACGCACTCTTAGTCAAAAACGTCTGGGTTGCTCGCGTTATTCCGCGGCTCAGTACCTTGTATAATTGTACAACTGGCAGCCCCCGTAGCCAAGATAAAGCGAACCCTGTGTTCTGATTGGCTACCCGAACGGGCAAGATGGGCCCATCTTGCCCGCTCTGGATTGCCCGCTTTAATCCAACGCAAGAGACAAAAGCATGTGGAGCGGATTTAAAAATTTCGTAACTTTTGGACAACGTCTAAGATAAAAACGCAAAAAGCAGCAGAGGACATTCAAAACAAAGCTGAAGTTAAACGAGCCTCTTAAGTACTAAGATTTCATTTCACTAATCCAGATATAAAATGGTAATTGCGACCCACATTTGATTGGCTAGTAGTTAAGCTGCAGTCGCCACTTGGAATAAGCAAAGAGAAGTTGATAGAAAAATTAAAGAGGTAGTAAGAACTCCTATACAAGAATTAAAAAAAAAATGCTGCATTTTCTAAGCGATGACATCACTCGATTCGCGTGTCTTACAGCTATTTTGATTCCCCCCCACCCAATGAATGAATGATTTAAGGGGATATAACGTTGAGTTGATAACTTTTGTTTATTTTCAACTTCCTGAGGATGATTATGATTAGTGTCCAAGCTTCACACAAATAATATGGGCAACTGATTAGCACCCTATCAACTGAAGTTTATCCTGGTAGAGAGGGAATAATTTTTATCGCGCGTACTGTTAAAAGAAAACTTTAAATTTTCTCTACATTTGCTTCTTATTTCTATTCCATACATTAGGCGCCTGCCAAGTTCACAACAGACAATTTTCTCGCGCCCTGCTAAGTGAGGAAAAGGTGACGAGGAAGTCTTTTGAGATAAATGTGAAAGAAGTCCAGTTTCAGCAATCGTGGCTGGGTGTGCGCCGTTTAGACAAAATATTTCTCGTTGTAATCACATATAACCTGCAAGAAAAAGGAGTCCAATACAGAATAATGTCGACGACAAATTTCACAAGAGGTGTAACAGTGACGAAAACATTGTTACTAACATGCTTTCCCTCAAGCCCTTTGGTGGGTGGGCCTCCGCCAAATATAGTTTCTTTCGCAGCAGTTAATCTTCTCCTGTCCATTACAGCGTTTCTTGGAAACTCTCTCATTCTTGTCGCCCTTCACAAGGAATCTTCCCTTCATCGACCGTCCAAACTCTTGTATCGATGTCTGGCAACAACTGATCTGTTGGTAGGTCTTGTTTCCCAGCCTCTCCATTCTACTTCATTGATATCCTTGATTCGCGAACACTGGGATGTTTGTCGATACATAGGCTATGCAAACCACACAAGCTTTGCCTTATGTACGGTGTCTCTGTTGACGATGACTGCCCTAACCGTGGACAGACTTCTTGCACTGCTGTTGGGGCTGAGATACAGACAAATCGTAACGTTGAAGCGCACCTATATCATTTTCGCTGCTATTTGGGCTTTTTCTCTCGTCGCGGCCTTCTTAACCCTCAAAATTGACTATCGTATAGTGTACTTGTGCATTGGCACAGTTATACCCCTTTGCCTAATTATTTCACTGGCCTCGTATACAAAGATTTTTTGCACTCTCAGGTATCATCATACTCAAGTACACGATCATGTCCAATATCCGCCAAGCCAACCAAATGCACTGAACATGGCGCGATACAGAAAGGCGGTGCACAGTGCACTTTGGGTGCAGTTAGCATTAATTGTTTGTTATGCGCCATCCTCTACTGTATCGTTATTGGCAATCGTTCATAATGTAATATCTTCGTCACACTTGTTCGCCATAAAGGAGATAACAACTGTCTTAGTCTACTTTAATTCAACGTTAAATCCGTTTCTTTACTGCTGGAAGATTAGTGAAGTAAGACAAGCAGTAAAGCAGACAGTCAGACAAACACTTTGCTGTCCATGGAGTTAGATCGCTCGTAGCTGCATTCGAATGAATATTTTCAATGCTGAGTCATACAGTCACGACAATTACCTGCTGTAGAGAACGCTTGTCCCACATTTTATTGAATAGGAAGAAATAAGAAACGTATATTCTCTTCTCCATCACAGCGTTTCTTGGAAACTGTTTCATTCTTGTTGCCCTTCACAAGGAATCTACCCTTCATCGAAACTCTTGTATCGTTACCTAGCAACAACTGATCTGTTAGTTGGTCTTGTTATACAGCCTGTCAATCCTGCCTTTGTGATATCCTTGGTTCACGAACATTGGGTTATTTGTCAATACGCAAATATCGCAGCCTACATATCAAGCATAGCATTATTTGGGGTTTCTTTGCTGACAATAGCGGCCATCAGCGTGGACAGACTTCTCGCCCTGTTCTTGGTGCTGAAATACGGACAATTTTTAACTTTAACGCGCACCTTTTATTATTGTAGCTACCTTTTGGGTTTTTTGTCTTTTCGAGACCTCTTTAATCGCTATAATTTGATCATTATATAACGTATTTGTGGAACTAGATATTAAAACCACTTTGCCTGACTGTTTCACTGGCCTCGTACACAAAAATTTGTCGCACTCTCAAGTATCATAAGACTCAAGAAAACGATCATGATCAACAACCGCCGAGGCAATCAAATTTTGCTCACTCCATGCACTAAATATGGCGCGATACAGAAAGGCAGTGCACAGTACACTGTGAATGGAGTTAGCTTTAGTTTGTTATGCGCAATCTTTTTTTGTGGCAAATGTGATCGCTCTTGGAAAAACATATTAATCGAGCTTAAGTGTCCTAAGAAGAATAACAATTGTCTTAGTTCACTTTAACTCGACGTTAAATCCGTTTCTTAATTGCTGGAAGATTAGTTTTATTTATTTATTTATTTAATCTTTATTTAAACACGATCAATTCATCAGCCTATAAAAATACATATCACATACGCTAAGATATTTAAAATTAAAACTACATACCATAACACTAAAGCTGTTTTCCGTGAATGCCGTGCATTAGACTTAAAGAATGTCATTGATCTTACGTTTAAATAACCTCAGAGACTCTGTGTTCCTTATATCGCGTGGTAGGCTGTTCCATAATGTGGCGCCATTGCAGCTAAAGCTTTTTCTGTAATAATTAGTGCGCGGTAGTGGAACATTAAGCTTATTTTCAGAGTCCCTGAGGTCATAAG